AAGAACATGCTATTTAATAAATAAAGGTAACAGACAAAACGTTAAGAAAACGACCCTTTGGGCATAATGTAAAATCTAAAAGCTTTCAGATCTTTTAGCCCAAAGGGCGTTGGCTGAGATGGGCTATTAATTTCATTTTGGCATTTTGTGTTGAAAACATCGGTTCACTTTTCAGATTGTTGCCACCAAATATTAGAACCCTCCATTATATTTAAAGAAATTAAATAATGAAGGATCTGCATGAATGTATGTATGTTTCTCCTGCTGCGAAAAACAACAGTACCTAAAGACATCAAATTTTCAGTAAGTTGTCCTCCACTAGAATAGGGGCATCTGGAAGCCCGAACTTAGAATTTGTTTTATTATCTATTTCATATTTTGTAAAACGTAAACGAATTTTTGGTTAAGAAACTCAACGATTTCCAATGGCAACACTGCGCGGGGGGGGGACATTTTTATCTCTAGCGCGGAGATTGTGTATCGGAAATTCTAAAGATATGCTCTTTTTAAAATTATTTTGCGATATTGCTGTTGAATGGAATTTTATGGTTTAAGTGCGAAGGACATGATATTTAATAAACGGTCGCGGACACTTTTAGCCGACGGGACAATAAAACGGCACCAGTTAGCCGACACGGACACTTAGCCGACAGGACATTTAGCCGACACGGACACTTAGCCGACAGGACATTTAGCCGGCATGGACAGTTAGTCGACAGGACATTTAGCCTACACGGACAGTTAGCCGACAGGACATTTAACCGACACACAGAATTCGCTGTCAGAGCATTTAGCTACGGGACAGTTAACTGTCAAGACATTTTGTCAACAGGACAATAAGCCGACAGTGATGTTTAGCTGACGCGTACCCAATAATTATTTAAATTTACAATCAATTACAAAATTTCTCGACTTCTCCGTAAGTTCAATATCTAAGTTATTTTTTTCACCTATCAGTAAAATTCAGTTTTTCGATTCTTGAAGATCTCATACATGCTTTTAATTATTGCGTTAATTTAGTATTGTTTGATATGTATTCGTGCTGTTTGGTGTAGATTGGCCTAAATTGAAAAAAGCGCTGAAATTTCTCGTCAGAGAATATGAATTAAATTTCGAAAGGAAAAAAGAATTTTTTTAGCTAAGTACGACGGTCACTTAATCCCATTTTAACATGGGATCTTCAAAAATTATCCGTAACGTTTCTTCATTTAATCAAATGGGTTCTTTTGAACACTTTCACACGATTAATAATTTCCCTTGTTTACTTAATGATAATAATTTTCCAATCTTGCTCTTCCAAATGCTTTCAAATTTGAAATATCTTTACATTTCATTAATATTTTATTCATCACATCATGTTACAGTCTTTCCCTTACAAAATCGTTTGGCTCCGTCCGCTAATGAAATTTCCTTTCCCTGTCCTATGAAGCGACGCAGTCGCACATGTAAGTATCCAGCCATTGCCTTACCCTATATATAGCAAGTGAAATTACTGAGCATAACCTTTTCCTGTGCTAGCACTAAGTTCAGGAGATTTGAATGCGAAGCATTCAGATACCATTTTATCGAAGTAGGAGGTGATGAGCAATTATATTCGTAGGGAGCAATTATAGTGATTTGGCGGATACTATATAGGCATAACTTGCTTGTAGGAATATCGTGCGAGAATCCGCAGTAAGGTAGGATCATTCATTTCGCGTTACGAAGCGCAGTTACTGGAGAGACATCGTAGACTAGACTGAACTGGCTGCTGTCCTCAGCGTAGTAGGAGTAGACCGTTCTGAAAAATCTGAATAATGCAATAAAAGTTATTGTTATGAAAAACGATATGTAGTTTAGTTAGGTATTCAGTAACTGTGCGGTAGTGGTCTGAGTCATAAACTCTTATGGTCAGTGTACCTCCACTTAGGTTTCCACGATATTTTTTTATATTTAATTGCTTTTCAAAATCTTCTTTCATCTTATCCCAATCGTCCGTGAAGTCTGCTAACACTATAGGGGGAATGTGTCCTCCTTTTTTGTTTTGGTTGTAATAAATTCACCTTCCTCTGCTTCCATATTGTCTTCAGGGTTTAGTTCCTCGAATTTACTTTTTTTGAGCTGGTTTTTCTATTTCGGAATTTGATAGAGTTCTCTTATGAGTTATTCTAGGGGTTATGTATCCTTCTTTATCTATTGTGGTTTTCTTTTTGATTCTAGATTTTTGACTAGCAGTAATATCAGATTGACTTGTTTCCTGTGTTGGATTATTTAGGGTTTCTTTTTGTTTCATTTCATTAATGTATAATTCTAAGATTTGTATATATCCTTTTCCATAGCATTGACGTGAGCTAAGTGAACTTCAGTCGCATTATTTGTATTAAATGAATTTTGATAAGCATGAAACTCAGAAAGCATAAGTTGCTTAAGTGTTTTCTAAGTTATCGCTGGTAACTTCCAGATTTCTGTGATTACACACAGATTTGATACGGTTTTCGATCCCCACCTTGTCCACGATATGCATGAATCCTAACTTTTAATCCTAATGGCAATAAAGAATAATGAAAACATACTTATCATGAACATCAAGAAGAGACGACAGCAACTCAGGATCAGCTTCAGCAGTGAGAGCAATGTCTTTTTCCCTTTCTTTACAAAATCGCAGGAATAAAGCAACGCCGTAGGCAGAAAGAACAATTTCTCTAATCATCAACAGCAACAACCATTCGACGTATTATAACTCAGAATGCACAAAATTTATGAGTTTTGAGGATGGTGGCATGAACTGCTAATTATAGAGGTCGCAAATAATTTATACCTTTGCTGTTCTTAAAAATTCACTTTTTTTAATTGTTTTTAATAACAAATAAAATATATTTGCTAAACTAACCCTCACTGCCATATGTTTCCATAAAAAAGTATAATTCAAGAATGACAGTAATTTTTATATTTCATTAGTGGGAGGAGCTAAACGATTTTTCAAGGAAGAAATGTAATGCGATGTGATGAGCAAAATAGTAATGCAACGTAAAGATATTAGAAATTTGAAAGCATTTGGAAGAGCGAGATTGGAAAATTAATATCATTAAGTAAACAAGAAAAATTATTAATGATGTGAAAGTTGATTAAATAACAGAATCTTTACGGATAATTTTTGAAGATCCCATATTATAATGTAATTAAGTGACTGCTGTACTCATCTAAAAAAATTCTTTTTCCTTTCGAAATTTAATTCATATTCCCTGACGAGAAATTTCAGCGCTTTTTCAATTTGGCCAATATACACTAAGCAGCACGATACATATCAAACAATGCTAAATTAACGCAATAAATTAAAAGCACGTATGAGATCTTCAAGAATCGAAAATTGAATTTTACTGATAGGTGAAAAAAATAACTTAGATATTGAACTTATGGAGAAGTCGAGATATTTTGTAATTGATTGTAAATTTAAATAATTATTGGGTACGCGTCAGCTAAACATCACTGTCGGCTTATTGTCCTCTTGACAAAATGTCTTGACAGAACTGTCCCGTAGCTAAATGCCCTGACGGCGAAGTCTGTGTGTTGGCTAAATGTCCTGTCGTCTAACTGTCCGTGTCGGCTAAATGACCTGTCGGCTAAGTGTCCTTGTCGGCTAAGTGTCCTCTTCGGCTAAATGTCCTGTCAGCTAACTGTCCGTGTCGGCTAAATGTCCTGTCGGTTAACTGTCCGTGTCGGCTAAATGTCCTGTCGGCTAACTGTCCGTGTCGGCTAAATGACCTGTCGGTTGTGCTTGTCGGCTAGATGTCCTGTCGGCTAAGTGTCCGTGTCGGCTAAATATCCTGTCGGCTAACTGGTGTCGGTTAAGTGTCCCGTCGGCTAAGTGTCACGGACCCTTTAATAAATAAAGGTAACACACAAAACCTAAACGTTTTCAGATTTTTTTATTATTATTTTTTTTTCTTATAGTTATTATTTTAATATGCGGAGATACTGAACTGAAATAAATTTCAAACGCAGTAGAATAGACAGTACCTCCCAGACTTATGTCTAGTCTGAATGAAGGAATTTCTGAATATGGCAATCCACCGACTCTGTTGTATAAATACGGATGCAAGTCAAAAATTATCTACCCTTTTATCATAACTTTTCTTACATTGCGGACTAATGCTGTGAAAGTTTGTTCTGAATTCTTCCATTTTTCTTCCTCCTGTTACAGATATATCATGGCTGCTCCATTAGAAGTTTACACCAAAGAGGAACAACGAGCAGTGATCCGATTCCTCTGGTCGGAGGGTGTCAAAGGGTCAGACTATCATCGCAATATGGGAGAAGTGCACTATCACGTAAAACTGTGTTTTGAGAAAGCGTTGGCAGACCCTAACGCGAGTGAGCTTGTGTTCTGCAGTAAGGTTTCTTGATACCCACCGTGCACAGACTTTATGAAAACCGAGCTCGTCGTGGATGATATGATGGGCGGAGCCATGACTGATGTTCAATTCAGATGCTACCTCATCGACAGTGATTCGCGTATTCATGTCTGACCCTCCGATCAGAGGAATCGGATCACTGCTCGTTGTTCCTCTTTGGTGCAAACTTCTAATGGAGCAGCCATGATATATCTGCAACAGAAGAAAGAAAAATGGAGGAATTAAGATCAAACATTCGCAGCATTACCACAACAGTATAACAATAAAATATGCGAGGACAGAAAACAAAGTGCGCAATGTAAAAAAAGTTATGACAAAGTGTAGCTAATTTTTGACTTGCCTACGTAAATTATTGTATTTTCCGCATAAACTGCGCATTTAAAATTTCACCGGTAAGGATTCAAGTATTTTTTACTGAAACTTAATTTTTTTTTTCTGATTTTTCAGAATTCAATGATAGAAGTTTTAATTAAATTATGGAAAATGTAATATTTTATAAAATTTCAGTGTGGCTTCTTTAACTCTTTTCACCCTGTGAGCAAAGCTTAATTAGTATTTGAAGAAGCAGGAAAGAGGTGATATTTTAATGTATCGTTTTTCTAATTTTAGTTACTTAGCATGTACGAGGATCCAGTTTCTAAAGTTTATGATGATGCTGAAATTTCCATGGACTTTAGTTACCAAGGACAGCAGGGAACTAGTAAGAGGTGTTTAGAATATATCTGTTATTTTGTGTACTTTATTATTTTAAAATAATTTTTAATGTTAATACAATTGTGAGAAAAACTCTATATATAATGTAAATACATTTCTATAAATATTATAAAACCTTTTAGAGAGGAATCTTTGTGGAATAGATGTTGTCTTAAAAAACATTTGTAAAAACTTATTTTTTTCGTCTTTAAAATTTCTTGCCATAATTCACTCTTAAGATGTACTTTATAACTGTTTATTAATTAAACTGTCCAATAAAAAGTATCTTTTTAAAAACTTAAAGCCACAAAGGTGTAATCTATTTAATTCAACATACATACACATTTAAAATTTTTAAAGTTTGCAAAATCTGAAGCTCATTTGAATAGCAAAAATTTACAAGCATATTGTGCTTGGAAAAGTTTGGCCTGGTGTTATAAATGAATGTTAACTTGCTTTCTAAATCAGTAAAAAAACAATAAAATAAATAAATGCTAGTATTTCAAATTGTAGTTTTTTGTGGCATAACTTATGATTGATTGTTTAAAGTTTCAGTGTATTGTTTTGTATATTATTCTACATATTCTCAAAAAATAATTATGATTTCTGTTTTTGTATTAGTGTAATAGAGAACTGCATTTTAAAATTTACTTTGTGTTACTGTAAATATTCAACGATAAGAATGTTCAGATTTATTTGAGATTTGTCTAAATTCTTTTAAATTTTCTTTTCAGTTCAAGTTCTGAACCCAGGTACGTAAAATTAAATGAAGTTTTATGTTGTTGTGTAGGTATATTTTAGTGATTCTGATGTTTAGTGATGCTGAGAATGAAAATATACTGTGTTTTCGAAATGATTTGTTTATTCGCAGTTTTTGTGAAAGGAAGTATGATAACAAAATATCCACATTAAATGATGTTAAATACCATACTTTAATTACTTTAAGAAATGTTTTACTTTCATCCAAATAATTATCATATATAAAATATTTTCCCCAGGTAATCAGCAGTGTCCGGATCTGAAATACTTGCAGGACATTTTTGGCATTCAAAAGCAAATACTTTTTTGAGTAAGGATATAATTATGGCATTGAAATAAATGCAGGTTACCTTCGTACAATATTATCACTGAATTTCTAAAAAGTGCTGTGCTATGCAAATTCGTATTATACAAGCCAAGAACTAGTACAAAAGCAGAGTACTGGCAGGGTTGAAAAAAAAATAAACTGTCAGTTTGATCAAAAGATTTTCATACTGATATATTTTTTTTTCTTTTTCGTTATTACTTGACTACTCGTTGCAAAGAATTTGTTATTCCCCCCCCCAAATGGACTAGTCTGGAAACGGGGTTTTCCACTATAACGGCCGTATCACTTTTCAAATTGTCACAGAATATTATCACCTGGTATTATTTTTTAAGAAATTAAATTATGAAGAATCTGCATGTATGTAGGTATGTTCCTCGCAATGTAAAAATACGACGGTACCTAGAGCCATCAAATTTTGAATAACATAGTCCTCCACCCGAACATGTACGCATGAAAGCCCGAACTTTGAATTTCGAATTTTATATTTCATAATTTATAAAACTTTAATGAATTTTTTATTAATAAACTTCTTGATTTGAAAGCAAGCGGTGGTAAAAGTATACAGAGTAAAACATTTTTATCTCCAGTATGCGAGATTGTATATCGAAAATTCTAAAAACATGCTGTTTTCAAATACTTTGTGATTTTGCCGTAGAATTGAATTTTATAAGTGAGAAGAACATGTTGTTTAATAAATAAAGTTAACACTCAAATGTTAATAATAAAAAGACAAAGCAAAATGTTTGCAGGCCATCTTACTAAGAAAAGTGAATATGATGAACTAAGAAAACACTGAAAAAAATAGAAAAATATATGCCAAAACTTAACGCTGCATGGGGAATTCTAAACATATACTGCTTTTAAAATTTTTATAATTTTACTGTTGACTTGTACATGGCGTAAGTGCGAAGAAAATTATGCTTAATAATGAAGCTAAAAAGACAAAAAGAAATGGGTTTGGAGTGAGTGCAACGGAAGACTGGTAGATTGCGAGCTCAGCGAGAGCGTAAAACACCTTAACAAATCCTTTTGGGCGATCGTTAAATCTGAACACTTTCAGATTAAAAAATTTTTTCTTTAACATTTCTCTTCCCCACATCTGTTTTGTTAGTGTTCAATTTCAGCTTATATATCTCTATGAATTTCATTGTATGGAGCTCATAATGAATGCAAATAAATTTGATACTTTTATTACTTCAAATAAGATATCTTATAAATTCACTGTTTGGAGCTCACAGTCAAGGACAATGCATGAAATTCTCTGCTAAAATTTGTACTTCTTTCAATGGGAAGATTTTCATTTATAACTATAACTCTAGCTGTTCAACTAAGTCTGGGCCTTATGCTTCCTAGGTTAATGGGTTTAACATCATCATTTCCATCTATTCTACGATCCTTTAAATTCATTTGGCTTATCCCAGATGCAAATGTGCTTCATCAGCCTTTTCTAATACTTCTGGAATACTTCTCTGACACTAACATCATCAAAGCCTTTCTGAAGAAAAAGATCTTAACGGGTACTAGCATTGAATGCATTCTTTTTTTGTAGGCTTGATTAGATTTACATTTTGAACTGATTCTGGCCATAAATTGTTTAAACAAATATAGCAAGAATTTAATGCTGATGGTTTTATTTAACACCTAAAAAACTGCTTTGGGGTATTTGTTGTTTTCAATAAGGAAATTTTATCTTCTGATAAAATAGAGTATTATCATTTGAGGGAAATATTTATTATGAGCTTTATTCATGAGTAGGCTAGTAAAATAAACACAGCTGAGTATTTTCTTTATTTTAAAGGTGTACAAGTCTCCATGTGGCATTAATTTACAATGAAATAATATTATAGAATTCCCCCCCTTACCATTTGGCTCTGCTATTTTGAACAGCTCATTGTAGGTATAAGATTGTATGTTCTTTATATTTAATTTCTTGGGAACTAATTTTTAAATTACAAACCTATTTAAACTGTTTAGCTTGAAATTGTTTCTTACGGTAAACTGAAATATGCAGATCAAGATCAGAATGCGGTTTCTTTTTAATCTAATATAATCTCTAAAATTTTGAAAAATTAGTACTGTACTGTGAAATTTTTAGATTGCAGTTTTCTTCTTTAATTTTCTTGTCTTTTTAAGTTTCTTCATGGCAATGATACCTCATAATTATATAGTTTTTAATATGTTGGATGTTAAAGTATCAGTGGCCAGGTCATATATTCTTCATAACATCAGCTTTCTTGGTATTCAGTCAAATTGCGTGAGGACATAACAGTATTTTAGGAATGCCATGTTACAGAGGGTCTGTTTGTATGGATACATCTGTGTTTTGTGTATAAAAATATCGTTGTCTTATGTCTGACATATTTAAATAAATATTTAATGGGGATTTATAAACATAATTTTGTGGGGAGGGGTTGTCGAGGGACTTTCTTCTAAATTTGTAATTAAAATTATTCCTCAAACGTATATTTTTAGGCATTGATTAATATGCATATCATTTATGGCATTTAATTATTTACATAAGTTCTTATATAAATTTTAAACAGAGTCCATTTGTGTTGTGCATTATTCTGTTAGTTGTTGATATGGAGTTTGTCTTATTTATTATGATTATATTATAGTAAAAGAGTTTTTCTCAAGCTTATGTCAAATTTTTTACAGAGTCACTGCATTTTCAGTTCCCAAAAATTTTTGCATTTTGCATATATGTAAGATCTATTATTATTATAAATTGTAAGGTAATATTTTATTTATATGTATCCATGACATGTAATTTTTGTCTAGATTCTTTTTTTGTGTGTTTTTAATAATACTACTTCATAAATTAAATTACTTTCTAAACTTTAAATAACTCTTGATTGTAAAATAAAAGGTATCATCAATAAAATATGATTTTTCTTGCTTAGATCTGTTCTGTACGATGTTAAAATGCATCAAGCTGATATATCATTGGCACCTGTTCCACTTCCTCCCCGCAGCAAAATTAAAGAGGTAACTTCCAGAAATAATTTTAATATTTTGTTATTTTTATTATGATTTGATATTTTTACTTTACTTAAAATAGAGGGTTGAAATCTTCATATTAATTTTTATGTAGAATGCAAGAAATCAAGAAAGAAAATTATGGAGTAATTGGAGCTTGCAATTCAATAGCTATTACTATTTTTAAAAATCTGTTTTTATGTGAAGATAATATGGAGTCAGTAATCTACTGGCTGAGATGAAATGTTGTAAGAAAATATTTCTTTATGTCAGCTTCTCTGGCTGATGTAAAAAAAAAAAAAAATTTGCCCACATAACATCTCATGAGTTTAAATTTGTTGTAGTTTTCAAACTAAATGGGTTGGAACTTAGACAGGCTTTCTTGCAATGTATCATTAAGTCATATGAGACATTGGAGAGATTTTACGAGCTAAAATTGAAATACCAATTGAATGAGTCTTATTATTGTAGATCATAATGAAAATCAAAAGTTCAACAGAGCCCCAACATTGTAAAGGTTGTGATGATTGTAATGCATGTGTGTGGTTGCATAATTCTAATTCATATCATACCCAAAGATAGGCCATCAATGCTAGATCGCTATTCATTTTTGGAACATCACCCATTGCAAAAGAAGTGGTAACAATTTCTACAAAATCCTCCCATCATTTGCAGGACAATACTCAGGAACCTGTAGTGTAGTCTGCAGCTAGTTTATTTGCTTAACCAGGCTGACAAGTGCTCTACCAGCCATCATATTCTCTATATTAAAGTTCTTGTAACCTTTTTTTAAGTTTTAAGATGAAGAAAATACTTAATGGTATTGATTTCTAAATTGTTTCAGAGATTGGTTGGGTAATAGATCACTTCATTTTAACTCTCAACAGAGTAGGCATTTCCTTGACTATACTGTAATTTCTACATTGCTGCTACTGGATTGGGCTTTTATTGTCTTTTGATGTAGTCACCATAATCCTGATGACTACACCAAAAGGCAAAAAGAAGTTTCATAGAAGCATCTCTTTTGTACAAATTTCAGGACGCTATGTAGAAACAAGGTACCCTTGTGTGGATGTTATGTTTCTGCACCACCATAAATATATAGTAATTTCCAAATTAAAAAAAAAATTATTCCAGCAAAACTTTTTTTTTTTTTTTTTTTTTTTTTTTTTTTTTTTTTTTTTTTTTAATATTACACAACATATACCCATGTACACATACAAAAGTCATTTTCTCTGTAAAATTCTAAAAAAAGTAAATTTCTAATTTCATTTCTAAAAAAGCGATTTCCTTAATTTTGATAAAAATTACAAAATATCTTAGACTATTTTATAACAATGTACTATTCATTACATTTTTATTCTCCTAGCTTGAACTGCTACAAAATTCTTAATCAGATATTTTAAAAGACCTTAGTAAATCTGAAGTATTCATTAAAATATTTTATCGATATTGTCAGATTAGTAAAATTTTCTTTTAACTTTGTTGATTTCAAATTATTTTTTTTATTAATTTTAGCTTTTAAAACCTTTTTTTGCTCAGTACTACTGATACAGGTAAGGTTAAACAAATAACAGTGCTATGGCAATATTAGAAACGTATTTTCATATATGTTCAGGGGATGATATTCCAAAACAACCTTGATGATAGTATTTCCGATTTAGCTCAAATCGAAAATAGCTTTTAATCATCATTCCGTTATTAGCTTTCGTTTTCCTTCGCATAAACGTGTTGGAAGATGAGTTTAGAACACTTCATCCTCCTTTTCTTGTATCAAAATAATCACATTGGTTCGCATTAGCCTTTCTTTGCATTTGACTCTTCTTAAACATCAATTTCTGGTAGCCTTTTTTTTCCCGTTTTTCTTTTGTTAGCTTGTCACACTATACTGTACTAGTTACGTTAGGAGTTCTTTTAACAAGGTGTTAAATGGGATATGAGGTATAGGAAAATGGGAGAAAAGGCAAAAAGTCCAGTTTATAATGATAGGTCTTTTGGATTAAACATTTATTATTTTACAAATGCCAAACGTTAGTGCTTAAGCCTTTAGTTCACGGGCTCTTCAATACTTTTTAACAATGTCCTCATACCGAGAAAATGCAATGCAATTATTTAAATGTTCAAAAAATCATAGGCTGATTGGAGTCACACAAAACACAGTTTGAGGAATCCACCACTCCAATTCTGTAGAGGTAGTCTCACAAACAGTCATGTCCAATCAGACGTCTACATAGAGCTACTGCTGTGTTTCTTGAAAACTAGGCATAAAAGTTGTCTCTTTTTCCAGAATCCTCCATCTCTTATCCATAGCACGTTGAATCATATTCTGTTTAAAAATTTTCTTAAGGGTCAGATTATAGGGTGTTTCTCCCGCTTTTTAGCGAGCCTTCGTGGTGTAGTGGTCTGCACGCTCAACGCGTAATTGAGAGGTCCGCGGTTCGATTAACGGCGAAGGCGTTTGCTCATTTTTCAAGTCTCGTGCTTCCAAAAAAAAAAAAAAAAATTACCTAATGCCTCTACAAGGTTCACAAACAATTTAGTCGTATGAAAAGAAAGCGGTCAATTAATACGTTGCATCATCTAAGTTCCTTTCTTAGCCAACAGATGAAGCAAAAATGAAGTCTAGAGACATAAAATGAGTTATTCTAGAATAAGTCGGGAAAAATTGCCAGCCATTCCGACGATATTCGGGTAAAATGAAAATGATAGAAGCGTGTAAAGTGACGGTCAAAAGCTTCCGCTAAAATAATACAAAATAAAACTAAAATAAAAAGGAATTAAATGATATTTCTTTCGTATATGATCATATACCAACAAGATAAATCACCGCGAAAAAAGTGTTAGGCCTTAGAAAGCACTAAGTTTACATTCTGTTATTTATAGAAGGGGGTGTAAAAATACAGACTGATTATAAATAAAATGAGGGAATATCTCCTGATCGGACTCAATTGGGAGTAAAATTGCAGAATCCTTCTTTCTATAAAGCTGAAATGAGAGTGAAACTGTAAGGTCAAAATTAGAGTACATTAAAAATCATGAAATGTACGAAGCAAATTAAAAAGTACATCTAAAATTAAATGAAAATAATGTGTGTGGTCAGAAAATATAGGAATTATGTTAGCATTAAGAGTATTTGGAAATTGTGAAGATTAAAATGTATGAAAGAAATTCAACATTAAATAAAAGTCATGTATAAGGTGTGAAACTGTAATAAATTAGTTAAAATTGAGAATATGTTAAAGACTGCGAGCATTATAAAGAAGGAAAGTTAAAAATAACATCTAAAATTAAGTATAGGATAGGTATATGAACAGAAAATATAAGAGATAAATTGAATTCAAAGAATGTTGGTTAAAAAGGAGGGGAAAAGTTCTGTGTGAAATGAAATAAACAATAAAAATTAGTAATGTATTTAAGATTATGGAAAATAAATGTGTGATTATTAATAAAAAAATCTGATGTGTACACCACATGACTTTCTTGTACAGAATATTAAATTATACGCGTTTTTCTTTGCATTTCATTTAAACTTAGCGCATGAAACCAGAATAGAAATTCACTATATTTTTTATCATAACGATATTCTGGCGCTAGATAGACTTAGCAGCGTTACATCTCATTCATTTTATAACTCAGAATGAAAAAAAAAAAAAAACAAAAAAAAATGATATCATCTGAAGAATAATCTAACCGTTACCACATGTTCCATTCAAGTACTATAACAAATCTAAAACGATATATAAAGAAATTAAAATATGCGAAAAACAGTTTCTCACAGACGATTCAGTTTTTTTTTACCTAATGTGCATGCTCTACTACTCTTAAACTTTTGCTGTCCGAATCAAACCGGTGACAGTATTTTCTGCTATTACATGAAACACTTATTTCGTCGAATTTTCATTAGAGATGTATTTCTTATTAAATTAATTCAAGTTCTCATTTCGCGGCAAGACAAAAGTATAATAAAAACACAAAATATCTTCATTAAAATTTTAAAGATATAGAAAAACATAAAACAAAAAATACAGTTAAAAATTTTTAAAAATTTACAATTTAAACAACAGTTTCTAAGCAAATACAAGCAATTCGGCTAGCGAATAAGAAGACAGATTTTGTTCGGTGCACAAAACTGAAAGTTTAGTTATTGGTGTCACGCGGCAAAAAGATACTGAAGACATAGAAACTGGTTGAATTTGTTGTGGACGCTATGCTGAATCAATGTATGGGATAATTTAATAACTTATATGATAATTCCAGAATAGGATTAAGCATAATTGTATGCGCAGTAATAAAAGAAGACGGTACTTTATCGTTACGAAACTTAGTTTCTCTAGATTGGCAACAAATCTACTGTTCTGCTGTTTCAAAAGTAAACAAATATGACTGCTATGGTAAAAAAAAATTAGGCTTAGCCGCACTTAAACAACTTTAATTATACAACTGAAACATGCAGGTTAATTAAAGGCATAAGAACAACATAATTCAATAATTTTTAAAGCAAAAAAAAGGGGCAATTTACAAACATATAAGAATAAAGAAACTGAGCTGAGCCGAGTAACAGAGGGTATATATACAGTGGTGGCCAAAATTGTGGACACTTTTGGAAATTTTTATGTTTTTGAACTTTGTATGCTTATAGAAAATGTTACGTTTCGCAAAATGCAAATTTGTATATATCATTTTAAAGAGAATTTATTACTGAATTCAATACAAAACACAAAATTCAATTTTTTGCAATACAAAAAAATGTATTTTAATATAAATAAAAAACACAGTTATGAAGTGGTTTGTAATGTCTAGCTTTCCTGGTCAATCAACTGTTCTTTGTTCTGAGAACCAATCAAATGTTAGTAACTGCCAGTAGAAGCTGACATCATGTTTACACTTGAAACAATTTATTATTTTGCTTTGTTCTGTAGAAGGAGGACCTGTTTATTATACACTGCAATTACAAGTAGGAATTTTTGTAAAAATTTTTAATATTTAGTCAAGAAGCAATGACATCAAAT